GACGCGCTTTAGCGAACACAGGAATAATGGTTGACAACTTGACACACTTTTTCTTTTTCTTTTGGGAAATTCGGACAGGAAACTTTAACGAGGTCATCGCACATAGAAATGTTTTTGAATTTTTGAACGCTTTGGAGAGAATACTGGAGACCATGCGTGCGCTCGAAATTAGGACTCTAATTAGACTAGGATTTAGAGGACGTTATATGTCTTTTTCGTAACTGGACGATGTTCCTTACTCGCGGGCATTTTGTTGCGCTTTGTCATGCACTCTACGCGCACCATGCCTTAATTTTAATCTCAACTGTAATTTCCTTTTTTTCCTTTCGTGGCGAGTGCGGGTGTAATTGTAATCCTCTCCTTCTTGGCTTCTCTTCGCATCGAAACATTCGGTTTCTTCCCCTTTGTCTCATTGGCCTGAACGGTGCATGACTGGATCGATGCGTAGATTGTGGCCACATCCCCCGCACCGCGGCCGAGGCGCGCCGACCGTAAGCGCCTCCTTCCTTTCTCTCTCGCCCTGCCTTACTTTAATCCCGGCTATCTCGCGCAAAAGCTAAATCACTCTCTTATCTAAACTCGGGAAGGTTGGCGAAGTCAAGAGGATCGGCTAACGAGTAGGAGCATACAAGGAGGTGAGTTTGGAGTTCGGCAATCCGACGAGCTGGTGGCGAGTGTGCGGGGTTGGCGTGCGGCCACAACGGACTGTGGAGCACTGGTGAACCCGGCGTGCGTACTCGGGCTAAGCGGGGAGACAGCTTTAAGTTGTTGGTAGGTGCGAGTGCGGTCTGTGGTAGTCACAGTATGGCGGTTGTGCTCCCGAGATTCAGCGTATCGCTTTTCGTGTCATCTACATGTGGACGGGCTACTCTCCCACAGAGAGGAACTGGGTCATCCACGAGAGTACTCAAACGAAGAAGCGTAACCGGTTGTTGTTCCCGAAGGTCGCGAAGTTGGTCGAGAGAGGATATGGGTCATCCACGAGAGTACTCAAACGAAGAAGCGTAACCGGTTGTTGTTTCCGAAGGTCGTGAAGTTGGTCGAGATCACGGCCAACACGCGACTTCTGGCTATTCAGAGCGTGGGGGGCGGTCTGGTTCTTCCTCGGACTCAGGACGAGTCCATGTTTGATGACCAGCGTGGCCTGGAGGCAGACGCTATTTGCGAGGGGGTGGACCGAAGGATATCGGAGGAGGATCGTGATGTGCACGCACAGTTATGGCGGCGGGATGCTTGTGGTTTACGACCACCACCGTCGGTGGAGGATGTTTTCGGGGTCCCGGGCGCCACTTTGAGGCCGTACCTGATAGATGACTCTAGTGGAGATGAGCGTGAGGTGCACGATGAGGGATTTCGACCCCGCGGGGGTACAGGTTTTCCACATGAAGTGGACGGCGATGCTTGGAGTGACCCATAGGAGGTTCGTCGGCGTAGTGGGGGCTTGTGTTGCACCCCGTACGTCGTACGGAGCTCTTGTCGTATGGCCGTACATACGGTCGTACTGTCGTATGGACGGTCCCGTACAAACTGACGAACCCCCCCCCGAAAAAAAAAAAAAAATATATATATATATATATATATATATATATATATATATGGGGATGTAGAGTTTTTCCTGCTCTACACCCCCATATATTTTTTTTTTAATTCGGTTTTTTTTTTATTTTTAAAAAATGAAAATAATCATAACGGGAAAAATAATAATAATAATAAAGAAATAAAAGTTGATTGATTGATTGATTGATTGATTGATTGATTGATTGATTGATTGATTCAAAAAAAAAAAAAACTTACAGCTAGGCGCGCAGCTATGTTAGAGTTGTCTCTCTCTCTCTCTCTCTC